TTACTCCTTCACTCACTCACTCAGTTCCTCACTCATTCACTCACTCACTCACTCAATCATTAGTCTCCCAATCACTCATTTACTTATTCATTTACGCACTCATTTGTTCATTCACTCATTCACTAACTCATTCACTCATTCATTCATTCACTCATTCACGCACTCATTCATTCACTCTTTCATCCATTCACTTATTCACCCACTCATTCATTCACTAACTCATCCACTCATTCGCTCATTCATTCACTCCTTCATTCCTTCATTCTCTCATTCACCCACTCATTCGTTCACTCTTTCATCCATTCACTTATTCACCCACTCATTCATTCACTAACTCATCCACTCATTCGCTCATTCATTCACTCCTTCATTCCTTCATTCTCTTATTCACCCACTCATTCGTTCACTCTTTCATCCATTCACTTATTCACCCACTCATTCATTCACGAACTCATCCACTCACTCATTCATGCATTCACTGATTCACTCACTCATTCGCTCACTCGCCCACTCATTCATTCACTCATCCATGCATTCACTCATTCATTCACTTGCTCACTCATTCATACATTCATCAACAATTCTCTGAGGGCATACTGTGCCCGGAACAGTGCCCAGAAGACTCATTTGGGATGTCTGTAGTGCGTCTTCCAGGAGGACGTGAGGAGTGGCAGTGATGTGCAGGGTCACGCCCTGAAGAGGAAGATTCTCACGCAGAGAAGAGCAAGTGGAAGCCTGAAGGGAGATAAGAACTGTACAGGAAAGAGGCTGGTGGCTGACAGTTGCAAGAAACCAGGTGTGAGGCAACAAAGGATGGAGAAGGCTGCCGGGCCCCAGGGGAGGGACAGGCACAACATGGGGCAGGCTGACTGCCATCGAGGGAGATGACCAAGGCCAGGGTCTGGGCGTTGACACCAAGTGTGACATTCCTAGAATCCCAGGTCAATTCCCTTTGGGGCATGTGAAGGGTCCGTGGGGCCCAGGGGATGGCCCAAGGGAAACGGGTCTCCAACAGGATAGAGCAGAGCTTCCTTTTGTTTTGGGTCATACTCAAATCATATCATGTCTATCATAGGTAACATCAAAGCCTTTGAAACTCTGCTTTAGGAGTGATAGCACAGCGGGTAGGGCGTTTGCCTTGCACGCGGTCGACACGGCCGACCTGAGTTCGATTCCTCCGCCCCGCTCGGAGAGCCCGGCAAGCTACCGAGAGTATCTCGCCCACATGGCAAAGCCTGGCAAGCTGCCCGTGATGTATTCGATACGCCAAGCACAGTAACAACAAGTCTCACAATGTTGCCGGGCCCAGTCGAGCAAATCGATGAACAACGGGAGGACAGTGACAGTGACAGTCATAATCAGGATGCTCAGGACTTACTCCTAGCAGTGCTCAGGGGACCGTATGGGGTGCCGGGGATCGAACCCAAATCAGTCACAGGCAAGGCAAACGCCCTGCCCGCTATAACTCTCCCTCCTAATGCAAAGGGTTTCAAAGGCGTTGCTGTTACCTATGATAGAGGTTACAGACATCTCCAAAGGAGCGAAGGAAACCTGGATTCTCAAGAGAGAAACACTTGTCAGATGCCTTTAGGGAGAGAGAGGGAATGTGTGTGTGTGTGTGTGTGTGTGTGTGTGTGTGTGTGTGTGTTTGTATACATGCATGCATGGGAAGGTGGGGGAGGGCTTAAGAGCACTTTCTTGGACAGAAATATGCTTTTGGGGGGGCGTGGTGGTGGTGGTGGGGGGACACCGTCTCCCCCCATTTCTCTTTGGGAACTACTGGTCTTACCGGGAGACAGATCACACACTAGATCTGCCCACAAGCCAGTTCTGAGTGCTGAGAGATTTACCCACGAGGTGAGACACTGATCCGCCAACCATGATCCTCTCTGATCTCTCATCTCTCAGAGTTTATGGTCTATTTGGGGAGATCCTATCTGCCTACCCCCCAGATAATTATGTGATGATAAGAAGCCCAATGAGAGATAAAGTTAATTCATGTCATTAACGTTCACAGGGGGGCGCTGAGCTGAACAGCTGAACGTTCACAGGGGGGCTGAGCTGGCGCTTAATGAGCTGGGGTGGGGACGTCATTAGCCCAGGGCTGTGGGGGAGGGAGGGGGTGCTCAGGGTGGCCTCTGGCAGGAGACCTGGCTCCCCCAAGATCTTGACATTTAGTTGAGGGGGGGGGAGACATTTGAAACCGTAGGAGGCAGGCGCCCGGGTCAGTGTCGCTTCTGTCTCTGGCCCAGCTCTGGCATCCTTGCACAGGAAGTCACACTTAAAGGCCTCCTGAGGCGGAAATTGTGGGGAGCTGGAGGGGGCAGGCCACCCCCTCAACTGTCTCTCACAGGCCCTCCCTGCCTTCCGGCTGTGACCCCACTCCACCCACGCCACGTGAGAGCCGCTCAGGCTGAGGTCCCCGTGCCTTTTCTGGGGACCATGGTGCCAACCCCCGGTGCCTACAGATGTGGTGTGTGGGTGGCGGGGCCCACAGCCCTGAAGGGTCAGAGGCTTGGGGGCCCTGCTGGGGGGTGTCTGGGAAGTTCTGCTGCTCTCTGCCCTCACTTCTCATTCCTGGAAGTGGAGGCCCCGAGGGCCCGAGTACCCCGGCACCAGTACCCACACACCTCAGCTTTTTCCTGAGCTGCCAGGGGGGCTGGGGGCAGGCTCAGAATCGGTCTTGTTTCCGGCAGATGATCTGGGCTCCCCAGGGAGGTGTGTGTCCCCTACCAACACCCCCCCCCCTTCCCCTTCCCTACCCAATCCGATCCAACTGGCCAGAACCAGCCAGGCTGTGGGAATGTGGTGAAACCCAGGCCAGGGCAGGCCTGGGTTTGCTTCTTTCTGGAACTGGGGAGTGTCAGGGGGCTGGTGTGGGAACCCGGAGACCTGGGTTATCTGCGGGGGGGGTGGGGGGTGGGGGGGGGGACTGGCAGGAGAGGGGGAGGAGGAGGAGGAGGAGGGAGGAGGAGGAGGAGGAGGAGGAGGAGGGGGGAGAGGAGGAGGAGGAGGAGAGGAGAGGAGGGGAGGGAAAGGGAGGGGAAGGGAGGACTTTGGGAGGGGGAGGAGGAGGGGGGGGAGGAGGAGGAGCAGCTGGGGTGGGGCTCATGAAGGATGGGGCAGTAGGGGGGATGGTCAGTGAACTGGGGAGAGGAAGCCAGGGCTTGGGGAGGCTTCCCTTTGGGGACCCCATTTCCCACTTCCCGAAGAAAATCGGGCCAAGTGGGACAGGGGTGCAAGGCCTGATGGGGGGCCACGGAGTGGGGGTTGGTTCCAGTCTTTCTGCTGACTCATGGACCCCTGAGGCGCTGGGGAAGCTTCTGGTTCTTCCTTCTCCCCCTCCCTTAGCGATTCCCCCCCACCCCACACCCCACCCCATACCCCAGGCCTGAGTCACTGGGCGGGGCTGCTGGAAGAGGTCTCCCCTTTCCCCGGATCTCCTTAACCCCCGAGGTGCTGAAGGTGTGGGGGACACGTGCGCAGGACAGGGGGTGTGTGTGTATGTGTGTGTGTGTGTGGGGGGGGTGTTTCCTCCTCCCCCACACAAGCTTATTCCTCAAAAGGCCAGAGGTCGCTGAAAGATGTTTTCGCTCCCCCTGGCCTTTCAAGACAATCCAGAACCGGAGGCCCCCCTCCCCTGGAAACCTCTCTGGAACTGGGGGTTCCAAGCAGGATTGCCTCCCTTGGGTGGGGTGGGGTGGGGAGCCACTTTTTCATGATTGGGAAGTTCTTCCCAGAACTACCGTCAGAGGCTTCCCTGTTGCTTTGGGGGTGCTGGTGCGGGGGACTGGCCTAGGAGTGGGGGAGGGGCGGGGGAGCACGGGGAGGGGAGAGCGGTGTTGGTCTGTTGCTCTGTGCGACGGCCCCGCTGTGGCCTTGGCTTTGGGGCAGCAGCACTGAGGCGCCTCCGACCCCATGGTGGGGACTCAGGGGTGACCCACCTGTCTGCTGGAGATCGGGGTGCTGTTTGGAAGCCCTCCTGTTGCGTGGGGGCTTATGTGGCCTGATTCACCTACTGCTTCCCACGTCAGGCGTCAGGCTCAGGCATGCTCTCGAGTCTCTCCCTGGCTCCCCCCCCTCCTACCCGGCGCCCACTCTGGTTTCTTGGGTTTTTTACCCCTTTTACACTGTGTCTTATCACAGCAGGGCGGGGCGTCTGCCTTGCACGTTGCTAGTTGCTAAACGCAGTTCGATCCCCAACACTCCATATGGCCCCTGAGCACAGGAGCAGGAATGAAGGAGCACGGCCAGGTGTGGCCCCCAGACAAAACAAATCCAAAGTCCTCCTTTCCCTCCACCCCAACCCCCCCTCGCCCCCCAACACTCAGGCAGCTGCAGTGCAGGAGGGCAGGCGGCGCTGAGGTCACCTGCCAGTTCCCAGTCCCCAAACCAGTCCTGGGAAGGACGGGAGGGACAAATGTGTGTACAGGACAGGAGAGGGCAGTGAGGGGCCGAAGGTGCGGGGGCCGAGAGGGCCGAGCTGGGAAGAGGAAGGCAGGGGGTGGGAGGCTGCACCCACAGCGGGCAGAGCTGGGACTTGCTTCCTATTCCAGTGCTCGTCCTCCCCCTCCCCTCCCCCTCTTCCACCCTCCCCCTCCCACCGTCCTCCCCATCCCAACATGGTCCTCCCCCTCCCTTCCCATCACCCTCCCTCTCTCCTCCCCCTCCCACCCTCCCCCTCCCACCGTCCTCCCCATCCCAACATAGTCCTCCCCCTCCCCTCCCACCACCCTCCCTCTCCCCTCCCCCTCCCACCCTCCCCCTCCCACCGTCCTCCCCATCCCAACTCAGTCCTCCCCCTCCCCTCCCCGTCCGCTCCCTCTCCCTCCGTCCTTCCCATTCCACCTCAGTCCTCCCCCCCACTGTCCTCCCCCTCCCACCTTCTCCCCCTCCCGCCACCATCCTCCCCCCCTCGTCCTCCCCTCCCCCTTCTGCCATCCTCCCCCTTCCGCCGTCCTCCCGCTCCTGATGGCTTCTCTGTTCTGGACTCCCCCCAGGTGCTCCAGGCTCTGCTGGTGGCAGTACAGTTCCCAGGGGCTACTGGACAGAACCCGGAGAATAAAGGCAACTCCTGTCCCCCAGGAAAATATGTCCACCCTGAAAATAACACCATCTGCTGTACCATGTGCCATAAAGGTCAGAAAAATGGGGAACAGGGACTCTCTCCGTCCCGGGTTTCTGCTTCTTCGTTTTTTTTTTTTTCAAAAAAAATAGATTTTTAAAAAAAATCTTGGGCTCCCCAAACCTACATTTGTCACCTCTACCAGGAAGTTGTCCCTTCTTTCCCCTCCTGAGGGGTTGGGGGTGGCCTGGCGTCCCTCTGTCTGTTCTTGGAGTTGGGGGCTGCCTCTGCTCTTCCACACCCCTCCCCCTCCCCCTTACCCCCAACACAGGAACCTTCTTTTTTTGGGGGGGAGCTTTTTGGGTCACACCCAGCGATGCTCAGGGGTCAGTCCTGGCTCATACACTCAGGAATTACTCCTGGTGGTGCTCGGGGGACCATACGGGATGCCGGGGATTGAACCCCGGGTGGGCCGCATGCAAGGCAAACGCCCTACCTGCTGGACTATCGCTCCGGCCCCCTCACAGGAACCTACTTGAAGACTCACTGTGAGAACTCTTGGATGAGCACGGGATGTGCGCCCTGTGCAGAGGGAACCTACATGGCCCAGCAGAACTTCCAGCAACGGTGCCTCAGCTGTTCCCGGTGCCGAAAAAGTGAGTCTATGCTGAGGGGAGGACTGGGAGCAGGATGCGTGTGGGCCCGGGCTCTTTATGTTGGTTGGTTGGTTGGTGGGTTTTTGTGTTTTGTGGGGGATAATCCCTGAGATGCTTATTTAGATGGTAATAACCATTTTTAGTTATTTATCCAAAAAAAAAAGATCTCGAGATGCTGTGATTTACAGTATTGCTAGTGATGGCTTCACGCACACATTATTCTAGTACCACATACACAAATAGTGCCCACTTCTCTCCCCCAAGGTCTAATGGCCTCCAGTTTCAGCCCCTCCCTAAGTCTAGTTCTTTCTTTTCTTTCTTTTTTTTTTTTTTTTTTTTTTGCTTTTTGGGTCACACCCGGCAATGCACAGGGGTTACTCCTGGCTCATGCACTCAGGAATTGCTCCTGGCGGTGCTCAGGGGACCATATGGGGTGCTGGGAATCGAACCTGTGTCAGCCATGTTGGCTGCGTGTAAGGCAAACGCCCTACCCACTGTGCTATCGCTCCAGCCCCTCCAAGCCTAGTTCTTGAACCCATTGTTCAGTTGAGTTGTCTGCCGGGAGCCAGAATGTCAGTACAGCCTGACCTGCGATTTAAGAACTAATCTCTTCTTGGAAAAAAAATGTTAAAATACATTGTGTAAATTTCTGAGCTATGCCCGGGAGAAGTCCCATGAGCTCACCGTTAAGGCTCACACCATGATTTATTGCATATCTGCCTGCTTTGTTAATCCCCCATTTTGCCCACTTCTTCATGTAATCAATTATAAAAGGCTAGCTTGGGAGAGGTAAATTTGGAGCTTGATCAGAGTCTTGCCTTGCTCCCATTCTTCTGTTTCTCTCTTTTTTCTCACTCGCACACCTTCTCCGGGTTATTTACGTTGACTAGTCCCGTGGGCCGGGGCAGATGTCTTGCTGTTTTCTAACATGTATTTTTTTTATTTGTTTGTTTTCTGTTTTGCTTTTTGGGTCACACCTGACAATGCTCGGGAATTATTCCTGACTCTGCACTCAGGAATTACTCCTGGACCATATGGAATGCTGGAGATGGAACCTGGGTTGGCCACATGCAAAGCAAACGCCCTCCCCACTGTGCTATCACTCCGGCCCTCTTACGTGTATTTTTATTTCTTGTTTGTTTGGGGGCCACACCCAGCAATGCTGCACTCAGGGATCACTCCTGGCAGGGTTTGTGGGACCGTATGAGATACAGGGAATCGAACATGGGTCATCCACATGCAAGGCAAGCACCTTACCCACTGTACTATGATTCTGTCCCCCCCCCGCCCCCAAACTCCCTTCATAGAGTGTATCTGCTGTTGTTGTTTTGGGGTCACATCCGGGGGTATTCAGGGGTTTACTTCTGACTCAGCACTCAGGAATTATTCCTGGCAGTGCTCCGGGGACTATATGGGATGCCGGGGATTGAACCCGGCTCGGCCGCCTGCAAGGGAAATGCCCTATCCACTATACTGTTGTCACTCCGGCCCTACAGTTCATCTTTAAAGACCCCATATGCGAGTGAGCGATCACTGTGTGTCTGTCCCTCTCCTTCCAACTCACTTCACTCAACACGATCCCCTCCAGTTTCATCCACGGAGCGACAAATTGCAGGATTTTTATTCTTTCTTTCAGCTGCAGAATATTTTTTTGTGTATAGGAACTTGGCCATGCGGGCGTGTGTGTGTGTGTGTGTGTGTGTGTGTGTGTGTGTGTGTGTATGGAGTTGTCAGCAGGTGTGTGCGTGAGCGTGCCTGGGACCGAGAATGTCCTGGGCACAGTGTGGTGGGAATGTCTGGAGGAGGGTTGTATGTCTTGGAGGGACCCAGGACAAGCAGGGATGCTCTGGGGACCCAGGGAGGCGGCTCACTCCTGTCTCCTGTCCTTCCCTTCCCAGACCTGAGGCAGGTGGAGATTTCTGCTTGCACTGCATACCAGGACACTGTGTGCGGCTGTGGGCCCAACCAGTACCGCGTCCACTCGGGATTGGATCTTTTCCTCTGCAAGAACTGCAGCCCCTGTCTCAACGGCACTGTCTATATCCCCTGTGAGTACCCCGTCCCTCCCTGCCCCCCGCCCGGCTCCCCACCTTTCTGCACTTCCTTCTCTCTCCTGGATCTGGTCCACAACACCCTCCCGGCCCTTCCTCCCTCTGGGGTCCTGCCATGTGTGTGTGTGTGTGTGTGTGTGTGTGTGTGTGAGAGAGAGAGAGAGTGTGTGAGAGTGTATGTGTGTGTGAGTATGTATGAGTGTGTGTGAGCGTGTGAGTGTATGTGTGTGTATGAGTGTGTGGAGTGTATGTGTGTGTGAGTGTATGAGTGTGTGTGATTGTGTGTGAGTGTATATGTGTGAGTGTATGTGAGTTTATGTGTGTGAGTGTATGTGTGTGAGACTGTCTGAGTGTGTGAGTGTATGTGTGTGTACATGTGTGTGTGAGAGTGTGTGTGTGAGAGTGTATGTGTGTGAGTATGTACAAGTGTGTGTGAGCGTGTGAGTGTATGTGTGTGAGTGTGTGTGAGTGTGTGGAGTGCATGTGTGTATGAGTGTATGAGTATGTGTGATTGTGTGAGTGTATATGTGTGAGTGTGTGTGAGTTTATGTGTGAGTATGTGTGTGTGAGAGTGTATGTGTGAGTGTGTGAGACTGTATGAGTGTGTGTGAGTGTATGTGTGTACATGAGTATGTGTGTGTGTATGTGTGTGAGTGTGTGTGTTTGTGTGAGTGTGTGTGTGTGAGTGTGTGTATGTGTGTGTGAGTGTATGTGTACGTGTGTGAATGTGTGTGTGTGCGTGCACACATGCCGACCCTTCAGCTAAGCTGCCTTCATTGTGTCTCCTCCTACAGGTGGGGAAAATCAGGACACGGTCTGCAACTGCCATGCAGGGTTCTACCTGAAGAAGAGTAAGTGCGAGTCCTGTGCTAAGTGAGTACCGATCTTGGTTGCCTGGCAGCTGGACCTGGGGTGGTGCATGGTATGTGGTGGGGGCAGGGTGGGGTGACTCTGGGTGAAACCACCGGCAGGGTGTGGGAGACACCCCAGGGGCTCTGTCTCCGTCTGACGGTATGGTGAGGGCCAGCCCCTCTCCCCACCTCCTCGTTCCTCAAATCTCTCTCTTTTGGTTACATCTGGTGATTCTCAGGGCTTACTCCTGGCCCTGTGCTAAGGGATCACTTAGCACAGATCACCCGAAATCACTCCTGGTGGGCTCAGGGGACCATATGGGATTCCAGGGGTTGAACCCAGATGGGCTGCCTGCAAGGCAAGCACCTTAGCTGCTGTACTGTGGCTCAGGTCCTTTGTCAAATGGTGTGTGTGTGTGTGTTTGTGTGTGTGTGTGTGTTGCTGGGAGTCAAACCCAGGGCCTCATGCATATGAGGTGAATTCTGTGCCCCAAAGTTATCTCCCTGACTCCTTCCTGTTCAGACCTTAAGGAGGTTTGGGGGTGCAGGCTGCTACCTTGAGGACTTGGGCATCTGGTCCTGGCCCAGTGGCCCACTCTGGTTCAGTAGTGCCACACCAGACATCTGACATGTTCTGTGTCATGCATGACATAGCTGGGTTTTTTGTTTTTGTTTTGTTTTGTTTTTTTTTTTTTGCTTTTTAGGTCACACCCGGCAATGCACAGGGGTTACTCCTGGCTCTGTGCTCAAGAATTACCCCTGGCGGTGCTCAGGGGACCATATGGGATGCTGGGAATTGAACCCGGGTAGGCCGCGTGCAAGGCAAATGCCCTACCCGCTGTGCTGTTGCTCCAGCCCCCATAGCTGGGTTTTACCTGCACGCACCGTGAGCGTGTGTGTGTGTGTGTGTGTGTGTGTCCACAAGCACCTTTGAGATCAATTTCCATTCGAAAATGAAACGAGTCTGAGATGGGCTGAAGTCTCCATCAATTCCTCTGCTCTGCTCTCCATTCCTCTCCATCAATTCCATAGACGGGTTTCATTTCCGTTTGATCAAGAGGGAGACTTGGTACTTGTTAAACCAAGAACTTCCAGCAGCGGGTGTTTTTGCTTTTTTCCTTTTGGGCTGTGTTTTTCTCATGCATAATGCCAACTCCCACCCCCATCCACTTCACCCGTGCTATTTCTTCTTTTATTTATTTTTTGCTTTTTTTGGGGGGGTCACACCCAGTGATGCTCAGGGGTTACTCCTGGCTCTGCACTCAGGAATCACTCCTGGCGGTGCTCGGGGGGACCATATGGGATGCTGGGGATCGAACTTGGGTTGGCCACGTGCAAGGCAAACGCCCTACCCGCTGGACTATCGCTCCAGTCCCTCTTCTTTTATTTTTATTGAATTTTTTTTTTTTTTTTTTAGTTTTTGGGCCATGTCTGGCTTGTGCTCAGGGGACCGTGTGCAGTGCCAGGGATCAAACCTGGGTCAGCCACATGCAAGGCAGTTGACTCAGTTCCTGTCCTATCTCTTTGGCCCAACCACTGTTTTCTTGTCATAGCTGTAAGAACAACTCAGACTGTGTGAAGCTGTGCCTGAACCCATTAAATGAGGTTCTTCAACCTGAGGACAAAGGTGAGTGGAGCAGAAACAGCTCATTAACCACGGGCCTCTCCTGTCCCCTTCCGTAGCCCTAGCCAGCCTGCCCGCCCCTCTGACCGCCACCCCCTTTGTGTCCAGGCACTGAGGTGCTGCTGCCGCTGGTCATCTTCTTCGGCCTCTGCCTCTTGTTCCTCCTCTCCTTTGTGCTCCTGTGCCGCCTTCCCCGGTGGAAATCCAAGCTGGCCTCCATGGGTGAGTGGACACTGCAGCAGGCGGGGCAGGGGACCGTGCGGGGTGGGAGGACGGAAGAGTGTGACACGCAGAGAAGGAAATGGTGAACCCATCACACTGCAAAGGGGGGTGTATGTAGTCCCTGGGGCCGCCTAGGCCCTGAAGCATGGAACCGCAAGTCCCCAAGAGCACCGGCTCTCTGGTCCCGGGCTGAGACAGGAAGTGACGTCACTCACACAGTTTCTTTGTCTTACAGTTTGTCCTCAAAAACTATCCACTCCTATCAAAGAGGTAAGAGGGAGCCCTTCACCTCACCCCCATTTCCCTTAAGGGTCCTTTGGGAATGATGCCTGCAATTCCCAGCTGCCCCTCACTCATCTGTCACCCTTGGGTTCCTCCCCCCCACCCCCATTCTCTCTAGTCCCCGTGGTTTTCAACCGCTGGTCCCTGTGGACCCGTGTGGTTTGGCAGGTGTAGGAAGGTTGGAAACTTCTGGTCTGCCGCAATGGTCTATAACTGCTGGTCTGGGCCGGGCTGCAGGCGCCAACAGGGTCAAGAAAGTAGCCTGGGCGAATTGTCCAGCAGGCAGAGGGTCAACCTTAAACCTGGCTTGGTCTGGGTTCCATCCCTGGCACCTCCCAGTGGTCCCTCGAACCCCTCCAGGAGTGATCCCTGAGCGCAGAGTCAGGAGTCCCTGCTGAGGGTGTCCCAAAAGAAAATCCAAGCTGGAAAAGGCTGCGTTTAGCCCCAAGGCGTGATTCAGGCAGGGGTGGGGGGTGGGGGGTTCTCTCTCACCCCTGCCCAGGCTGCGCCTTTTCTCTTTCAGGGGGAGCCTGATACCGGGAAGTTTGGGCCAGGCGGCCCTTATTCTTCCCCCACCTTCAGCCCCATCCCCACTTTCCCCTCGCCAAATTCTGAAAACTGGCCCCACTTCGGACCACCCGCGAGGGAGACGGCCCCGACCCTGCTGAAGGCCGCCCTCACCCCCGTCCCGGGGTCACCGGACCCCAGCCCAGGCCCCAGCTCCTGCCTCCTGCCAAAGCGGGAGGAGGGGGCCCCGCTGCCGCCGCCGCCGCCGCCGCCGCCGCCACCGCCGCAGCCGCGCCCAGACGGTGAGTTGGCCGGGGCGCACGCACGGGGAGCAGGGTCAGGAGCGCGGGGGGCGCACGCACGGGGAGCGGACGGGCAGGGGCGCAGGGGGCGCGCTCGCGGGGAGCGGGTGGGCAGGGGTGCGGGGGGCGCGCTCGCGGGGAACAGGAGGGCAGGGGCGCGGGGCGCACGCACGGGGAGCGGACGGGCAGGGGCGCAGGGGGCGCGCTCGCGGGGAACTGGAGGGCAGGGGCGCGGGGCGCACGCGCCGGGAGCAAGGTCAGGAGCGCGGGGGGCGCACGCACCGGGAGCGGGTGGGCAGGAGCGCGGGGGGCGCGCTCGCGGGGAACAGGAGGGCAGGGGCGCGGGGCGCACGCACGGGGAGCAGGATCAGGAGCGCGGGGGGCGCACACACGGGGAGCGGGCGGGCAGGGGCGCGGGGGTCGCGCTCGCGGGGAACGGGAGGGCAGGGGCGCGGGGCGCACGCACGGGGACCAGGGTCAGGAGCGCGGGGGGCGCACGCACCGGGAGCGGGTGGGCAGGGGCGCGGGGGGCGCGCTCGCGGGGCTGCCCCCCTCCCCACCCCGCTCACCGCCCGCCCCGCCGCCCCTCCTCCGCCCAGACCCCGCGATGCTGTACGCCGTGGTGGACGGCGTGCCCCCGACGCGCTGGCGGGAGTTCGTGCGGCGGCTGGGCCTGAGCGAGCACGAGATCGAGCGTCTGGAGCTGCAGAACGGGCGCTGCCTGCGCGAGGCGCACTACAGCATGCTGGCGGCCTGGAGGCAGCGCACGCCGCGCCACCTGGCCACCCTGGAGCTGCTGGGCAAAGTGCTCTGCGACATGGACCTGCGGGGCTGCCTGGAGGACATCCAGGAGGCGGTGGCAGGCGCCGCCCCTGGCGCGCCCGCGCCCCGGCCTCCCCGGTGAGGCCACGCCCCCGCCCCCCTGGGCGCTACCTCTTCGTGCAGTTTGGGGCGGCGGGGCAGCTCATCATCTCCCCCCTCCTCCACAAGGACAGTGCAAAAAAGACTCCCCCGCACCCGGGAACCGCCTCCCGGAAGGGCCTCGGAGGGGCAGGCATCAGTTGGGTACCACTGGGTGCCAGTTCCTCACTGTACATAGCTTTACTCAGCGGCCCGAGTGCGTGTGTGTGTGTGTGTGTGTGTGTGCGCGCGCGCGCGCGTGTGTCTGAATTCACCCCGAAACCCTGGTCGTGGCTGCTGGGATACTTAGATTTCCAGCCCCCAGCACTGGGAGCCATTCAGGGTTGGCCCCTCGGGCTGGCCCTCGATTCCTTCTCACAGTGGGCCAGCAACGTTGGCGTCCCTCGATTGTACCGTTACAGTCTTTTCTGTGTTACACTAATAAAAACCGACACATCTTTTGCCCTCGGCCTGGACAAGCGGCCGGTGACTGGAGGCGGGGTTGGAATTGTCCCGGGGGTCCGAGGGCCAGCAAGGAAAGGCAAGGCCGGTCTTACTTTGCGTGTGTTTGGGTTTTATTTGCCACACTCTGTGGTGATGTGGGTCCGGGTGCAGAGCGCGTGCTCCGTCCCAGGCCGGGGAGCCGTGTTCTTTTAGGAAAACACTCAAAACCCTGGGAGCTGGGCTCCTGGATGGAGGGAGTGGGGGGTGTGGGAGGCCAGGCCTGGGACCCCCGCGGGTGGCTGGGAACAGCCCCGCCCCCCCGCCCGCCTCCCCCCAGCTCTCTCCGCCTGTCTCTTTCTGCTTCTTCCCTTTCTTTTCCTCTCCTCCCCCCCCCCCCCCTTTATTCTGATGTTTCCGCGATGTGGGGTGGCAGGTACGACTTGGTCGTGGCGTTTGTCCCCTCAGCCGCGGTGCTCACTGGGGCTTGCACACTTCTCGTCCTCTTGGTGTTTGCCCGTGGGCTTCCTGGGAGCTGACAGGTCTCCCGTGCTGGGACCAAGCTGAGTGCCGGGGAGGTCGCACCGGGGACCAAATTCTCGACCTCACGAGTTTGCAACACAGATGCTCTTGGCTCCTTCACCATCCCAGGGGTCGGAGCCATCACTTTTGTGCCCGGCGGTGGGCGGGCTTTGGGCGTCCTGGGTAGGAGAATGAAGAATCCTGGGTCCCCCGATTCCTTTGAGCAAGGTGCCCGGAGCAGGCTTCTGAGGGACATGTGGTCCTTGAGGTAGAGTCCAGAGGGGGTGGGTAGTGACCAGCACTCCTGGGGTGGGGCTCTCATCCCCTCACACCTCCCTGAAAAGAGAGGAGGTGGGTTATTTAGGGAAAACCACGTCCTTGAGATAGGTCAAAGGGCTGATGGTCCAGCGGGGAGGGCACTGGCCTCGAAGGTGGCTGACCCGGGTTCGAAGCTCCTCCAGGAGAGATCCCTGAGCACAAGTGGGTGGGTGTGGGGCCCCTGGCCCCCCAAAAGGGCTGAGGTCTGGGTTCCATCCCTGGCATTGCATGGCCCCTGGGATGACACCAGGTGTGCCCCCTCCCCCGCCCTCCCCCCCTCCCTGCCAAGCTACAAAGCAAAGTCAGCTGGAGCCCCGTCCCGTTCCCCTCCCCACTCCCCTGCAGCACTTACGAGGTGGACAGCGGCGTGTCCAGCTGTATGACCTGGGGCCCCCGCATCCTGTGCAGCTGAGCCCGTGTCAGTTTGCGGGGTTGGCCGCCCCTGGGCTCCGGGAGGCCATCGATCCTCTGCCGGGCCAGTTCCTCTCGGATCTCCCGGAGAATGTCCTCTCTCTGCAGGGGCCGGGGGTGGGTAGGCAGGAGCGCCCCCTCTTCCTCCTCCTCCTCCTCCTCCTCCTCCTCCTCCTCCTCCTCCTCCTCCTCCTCCTCTTCCTCCTCCCCCGACAGCTCCCAGGGGCTGTCCCCGGCGGAGTCTGTGTGGCTGGGTGACGCGGGAAGCTGGCCACGGACCAGGGCTCGATGCAATGTCTGCATCACCACGTCCCCTCGGCCCGGGGTCCCCCGGTGGTCCTTGTCCTCGGCCCAGGAGGGGATGAGCCCCCGGGGAAGGCTGCCTCCTCGGGGGAGGAGATTATCCTCTGGCAGGTCCGGGGCACTTCGGCGTTGGGGCGCTTGGGAGTCCGGGGGCAGCGGGCGCAGGGGGACGTCTCGGAGGTCCATGGTGGAGAAACTGAGGCGAGGGTCCCGCCGCATGGCTAGGGGGCGCCGGCGGCTCAGGGGCTGGCGGAGTATTTGGGGGGAATCTGGGACGAGAGTGCCATAGCCGGAGTCCGAGGTGTCGTCGTGACCCAAGGGACCATCTTCATCTGTGTTTTCCGTCACCACCAGGTTGGGGATGATGGTCAAGAACTCGGGGGACCTGCAGGTGCCAAGGGGAGGTCAGAGGCCGATGCTGGGGTGGGGAGGTCACCGGGACACTCTAGAAGCTGCCATCTATGATGCTGTCTATGGTCCCTGCCTTCAAACCTTCCCTGCATTTGTTGTTTCTGGGGGTGGGGGTGGGGGGACGGAGCCATAGCACAGCGGATAGGGCATTTGCCTTGCATGTGGCTGACCCGGGTTTGGTTCCTCTGTCCCTCTCGGAGAGCCCGGCAAGCTACCGAGAGTATCCCACCCACACGGCAGAGCCTGGCAAGCTCCCCGTGGTGTATTTGATAGGCCAAAACCAGTAACAGCAAGTCTCACAATGGAGACGTTACTGGTGCCCGCTTGAGCACATCGATGAACAACAGGAGGTCGGTGCTACAGTGCTATGGGGTGGGGGAGCACACCCAGCAGCACTCAGGGCTGACTCCTGGCTCTGTGCTCAGGGATCACTCCTGGAGGGCTCAGGGGACTGTATGGGTCTACCCCAGTTGGTACACAGCTCCACAGCCCAGCTGAGAGTGACCCCTGCTGGGACCACAAGCGGTGCCAGGGATTGAACTAGGATCCATGGCAAAGCCAGTGCCCTGCCCCCTGGACTTCCTCTCCTGGGATGGAGGAGGCACTTGGGGAGTGCCGGGAGCTCCCAGCACCTCCCCTAGGGATGAACCTTTCCCACCTTCCCGGGCTGCTGCCCATCCTCTGTGGGGTTCCTTTTTTTTGTTTTTTGCTTTTTGGGTCACACCTGGCAGTGCTCAGGGGTTCCTCCTGGCTCTGCACTCAGGAATTACTCCTGGCGGTGCTCGGGGGACCCTATGGGATGCTGGGAATCGAACCAGGGTCAGCCGCATGCAAGGCAAACGCCCTTCCAGCTGTGCTATCGCTCTAGCCCAGTTGGGCTGGCACTTTCTTTCTTTTTTTTTTTTGCTTTTTGGGTCACACCGGCAATACTTAGGGGTTCCTCCAGGCTCTGCGCTTAGGAATTCCTCCTGGCGGTGCTCGGGGGACCCTGTGGGATGCTGGAAATTGAACCAGGTATGCAGGGCAAACACCCTTCCCGCTGTGCTGTCGCTCCAGCCCCCGCTGCGGGATTCTGATGCCCCTCATCCCGGAAGGAGCGGGGGCATTTGGGTAGCTGGGCCCTGAGGCTCTGCCCTCTGACACACCCAGCTCACCCTCTGCTCTCCCTTAGGGCCGGGGCACCCACTCCGTAGTAAATGCCCGTGCGTCCCATGTCTGCACCTTGTGCCCGGTGCCAACTCGAGGTGGGTTTCATGCCCCCTCCACCCCCACACCTCCCAGGCAGGGACGAGGCTGGGGCCAACGATTCCCTAGTCAACCTCCCTGCCCGTCTCTTCCCTCCTGTTCTGGGAGGCCCCGGGGTCCAGGCCTGGCCTTACCTGCTGTCCACACTGTTCTGGGAGCTGTCCAGGGAGGGCGTGGAGGGCCTGGTGCCCGGCGACTCCTGCTCATGGTCCCGGTAAAGGGCCAGGAGCCCCCGCTTCTGCCGGACGTACTCGTCTGTCTTCAGCTTTTGCAAGGAGGTCTGGATGGGGGGAAACGTTCATGAAGGGCTGTTGCTTATGGTGCGCTTGCTGTATACCAAGCACCGAGCTACGTGCTTCATGTACCTTAACTTGGATGATTTTCTTTTTCTTTTTTTTTTTTTTTTTTTTTGCTTTTTTGGGTCACACCCGGCGATGCACAGGGGTTACTCCTGGATCTGCTCTCAGAAGTTACTCCTGGAGGCGCTCAGGGGACCATATGGGATGCTGGGAATCGAACCCAGGTCGGCCGCGTGCAAGGCAAATGCCCTACCCGCTGTGCTATCGCTCCAGCCCAACTTGAATGATTTTCACAGTCCTGGCTGACTGGTATCACCTGTTCCCCCCAGCCCCATTTTGCTGTGCTAGGGATCAAACCCTTGCAAGATGAACACATGCAAGACATACGAGATACTTTGCCGTCTGGGGCCGGAGGAGGCTAAGGGATCTCGCGAGACTTGGCCAGAGTGAGGAAACTCCCTGCCAGGGATTGTCACCTCCTCTCTTGCTCCTGTCTCCAGGCTGTCACTGCTTGCAGGAATAACTGCTGAGACATGGTGCCCTTCCACCTAGGGAACCCCAGGCCAACTCTGCACTTGGGATGGCCAGAAGAGGGGAGGTCTGTGGAAGTAAAGAACTGGAAAGGGGGCTGGAGCGATAGCACAACAGAGAGGGCATTTGCCTTGCATGCAGCCGACCCGGGTTCGATTCCCAGCATCCCATATGGTCCCCCGAGTACTGCCAGGAGTCATTTCTGAGTGCATGCACCAGGAGTAACCCCTGTACATCACTGGGTGTGACCTCAAAAAAAAAAAAAAAAGAACTGGAAAGAAAGTGTCCCCGGCCAGGAGCACCCAGTACTGGCATCTCCAAGCACAGATAGAGGCCCGGCTCACACCTGGGTGTCATCTGGGACAGATGGAACCGACAGAAAAGGTCATTGGTATTTTTTGTGTATGTATTTTGCTTTGGGGCTGTCCCCGGCTGTGTTCAAGGTTGACTCCTGGCTCTGTACTCAGGGATCACTCCTGGTGGTCCTCAGGGGAACCTTGAGGGGTGCCTGAGATTAAACCGGGCTTGGCTGCTTGCAAGATAAATGCCTTGCCCCTGTACCATCTCTCGGCTCACGACCATCTTTTTCTCCTAATTGTGCCAGTAACAAGCATGTAGGAAGTACCCATTCGGTGCCGGGCCTGCAGCCCAGGCAGTTTACAAACACCCCTTTCCCTGTCCTGTACCCCTGAGAGTCCCCAGCTGGGGGCGAGGTAGCCCGCGTCCGGAACAGAGATCACTCAGCAGCCCGCCTCTCAGCTTCCCTCCCTCCTCCTTGGCTGCTGTTTCTGCCAGCAGTTTCTGTTCCCATCACTGGTTCCTTTTCCTCTTCCCGGACCCTAAGTCAGGGTATTTTCCAAGTTCAGGCTCCAGCTCCCCGAAAAGAGCACAGAGCAGTGAGTGGACTCGAGGACCGAGGGGAGACCAGGGCCCGTCCCAGTGGCTGGTCTCGGCTGTGAATCCAGAGACTATAAAACCAAGCTCCCGGACCTCTTATTCTCTAGTTCTCACTCTCAGAGAACTCAGCAGGCTACTGAGAATATCCTGCCCGCATATATGCCTGACTGGGAACACCTGTAAAGGTGATTAGAGGCTGCCCGAAAAGCCTCCATCCCTCTTGGAGAGCCCAGCAAGTTACAGAGAGTATCCCGCCTGCATGGCAGAGCCTGGCAAGCTACCCGTGGCGTACTCGATATGCCAAAAACAGTAATAATGATTGATGGTCCTCATTCCCCTGACTCTGAAAGAGCCCCCAATATATCTGGCATTGGGCTACACTAGCACGTGACAGGGACGAACGAAGACATTACTGGCTCCCGCTCGAGCAAATCGATGAACAACGGGGTGACAGTGATAGTGATTATATATCAATGTAATCATATGCCTAACATACCACCCAATATACCACTGCAGATCCCGCCTCCCGCCCTTGCCCCCTGATCCCCAGAATAACCCTGATGCACCCCCTAGTGGGGTTCACACAGGAACTCCTGCCCCAGACCTTCCTGGTTTATGCCCTCCTGGACGCTGCCTCCCTGACCAGCCAGCCCACAGGGAGAATGGCCCTTCTCAGCCCCAGCACCATCCCACACACGTTTCGAGTGGCCGCCTGTTCACAGGACCTGCAGCAGCAAAGGCCCGTTGACAGCACTGGAAGGAAGGAGGAAGTTTAGCAGGTCATTGTTTGGGGGGAGTCGCAACCGTTCGGGGGGTGTGGTCTTGGACTTCCCCTGTGCCGGGCACAGGAGCTGACTGCAAGTCCCTTCCAGGCTTTTCCAGAAACAAAGTGTCTCTCCTTCATCTGTTTGTTTGTTTTGGCTCTGCCTAGGGCTTCCTCCTGGCTCTGCACGGGAGGGCGGAGATCACTCCTGGCAGTGCTCAGGGGACCCTAAGGGGTGGCTGGGCTTCAAATCCAGTTCAGCCACATACAAAGCAAGCACCCTGCCCACTGTACTGTCTCTCTGGCCCCAAGATCTTTGGCAAGAATACCCCAGGGTGTGTGTGTGGGGGGGGGGGGCTGGAACGATAGCACAGCAAGGAGGGCATTTGCCTTGCATGTGGCCGACCCGGGTTCGATTCCCAGCATCCTATAGGGTCCCCTGAGCACCGTCAGGAGTAATTCCTGAATGCATGAGCCAGGAGTAACTGAGCATCTCTGGCTGTGACCCAAAAAGAAAAAAAAAAGAATACCCAAGGGGCTAAAGGTCCACTCTGCACCAGCCTCCCCTCTCCTGTCATCAGCTGTTGCATACCTGGGCCTGCTGCATCTTCTGCAGCCACTGCAAGCAGTCGGCAGCGCTGGCGCAGTGCACAGTGAACGCGGTGGACACGCACTGGAAGTCAGTCAGGTAGATGACCAGAAAGCTGTCTGGGTGCAGAAGAAGGTCAGCTGCAGGGGCTGCAGGGGCTGGGCTTCCTGCATCCCCCCCAGCCCCAGTCCCAGCCCTGGGCCCTGGTTGGGAGGAGGGGAGAGGGCACAGGGCAGGAGGGACCTACTCGGGTCTCGGAGGGTTCGGCACACCAGCTTCTCCAGCATGTAGGGCGGGCGGATGACCTTGGCTTTGTCGGCCTTGCGCTGGGGCTTGGTCACCAGGAGCGCATCCGAGAAGAGGAACAAGTAGGCGTCCAGCTGGGACAGGCAGAGGAGGAAGAGGGTCAGGGGAGCGGGGGAGGGAGAGACAGAGCTCTGGGGTTGGGGGTGGGGCGTGTGGCACCTGTGGGGTGCACTGACTCTCACCCCTAGACTCTCACACAGACTCACACACAGATTCTCACACGGAGATTCACACTCACACAGACTCACACAGACAGACTCTCACAGAGACACACACACACACAGACACACACAGACTCAGACACAGACACACAGATAGACTCTCACAGAGACTCACACACAGACACACACACAGACTCACACACAGACAGACTCTCACATAGCTATTCACACACACAGACTCTCACAGAGACTCACACAGGCAGACTCTCACAGAGACTCCGACACACAGACACACAGACTCCCAGAAACATACACACAGACACACACACACTCTCACAATAGACTCATACTGACTTAAACACACATATAGACTCACACAGAGACAGACACACAGATTCTCAGATGAAGATTCACACTCACACTGACTTGCACACTGACTCATACACAGACACACAGACACATAGACTCACACACAGACTCTCACATAGATACATACACAGACTCTCAGAGACTAACATACACGTAGACTCTCACAGAGACTCATACACACAGACTCACACAGACTTTCACAGAGACATTAGACTCTCACATAGAGACACACACACAGACACACACATGGACTCTCACAGACTCACACACACACAATCTCTCAGAGACTCATACACACAGACTCTCAGAGACTCACACACAGACACACACATAGATTCTCACAGAGACACACAGACTCTCACAGAGACTCACACAGACACACACAGACTTTCACAGAGACACACAGACTCTCACAGTAGACTCATACTGACTATACACACATAGAGACTCACACAGAGACAGACACACAGACTCACACACTCTCTCACACATAGACTCTTATACAGACTTCCATAAACATAAACTCACACAGAGCCTTGCACATGGGCACACACAAAACACACACACACATATACACTCTCACACATAGATTCTCAGGGGCCAGAGAGAGAGTACAGCAGATTAGGCACTTGTTGGTATCCCATATGGTCCCCTGAGGCCACCAGGAGTGATTCCTGATCACAGAGCCAGGAGGGACTCTTGAGCACCTCTGAATGTGTCCCCAAAAACCAAAATACAGGGACTCACACACAGAGAAGCATGCAGATGTACACAGACTTACACACACAGATTCACATGCCACAGGAGACAGACAAAAACTCAGACACAGACACAAAGACACACAGACTCTTAATCCAGACTTGCACGGACAGACTTCACACACAGCCTAACACAGATAGACTTACAAACAGATGCAGTGGGGCTTACACAAATACATACACAGACTCATACCCAGATTCACAAACATACTCATACCCACATGCCCTTTTCCCTCACTTCTTGCTTTTCTTGTTTTTTTTTTTCCCCTGGGGTGCCAGGGATCGAACTCAGTTCTCATGCATGCAAGGCAAGTGCTCTGCCACTGAGCCACATCCCTGGCCCACGTTTCTGACTCTTATCCTGCCTCCCGTCACCTTTCATCCACTGTCTTCTCCGTCCCCATCGGCCTCACCTTCCCTTCCCGGCCCTCCTTCAACCGCACAGGCCCCTCCAGCAGCAGCTGCCTGGTGTTCTCTGGAGCCACGCCCATCATGGGAATCTGCAGGTCCAGCTTGGAGTAGGGACGCAGGTTCTGAGGGACATAGACGGGAGAGAGGATGGGGGTGGGGGGGCTGGAAGGATTCTCTCCGCCTCCCAACCAAGAACATTCTTCCTTCGGCCACCAGCACATTCTTACCACTCTTGCCCCTCTTGGAACGCGAGGAAGCATCCCATGCAGTAAAGCATCCTTTTCTTTTTTTTTACATTGACAAGATTTTTCCGTGCTCATTTATTACATTACTTATTGCTGTTTGGGGAGTAATAAGCATCCTTTTCTTGATGCTTGGTCGGGGCTGCCACCAACAGTGATACTGCAGTATGCAGGAGCACACAAAGCCTGTGCTCCAGTTTATTGGGCTATCCCTCTTGCCACGAAACTCCACCCCTCCAGGAAAGACATATAGGCCCCACCCGCTGCTGTAGACCACACCCTCATTTATAGGCCACACCCCCTGTAGTAGAGCATCCCCTCACCAATAGGCTACACCTGTGTTTAGGTTACGCCTCTGCTGATAGACCACGCCCCCCAGTTGGCCACACCCCTGCTGGTAGGCCACACCCCTGGTTAGCTACCTCACCAATAAGACTGCATTTCGATGATAGGCCACACCCCCGTGTGTCAGGCCACACCCCGTCTTAGGTCACACCCTGTTAGGCCACACCCCTGTCTTAGGCCACACCGGCTGGAATAGGCCACACCCCCTGGAATAGGCCACGCCCTGTCTTAGGTCACACCCCTATGGTAGGCCACACCTCTGTCTTAGGCCACGCCCTCTGCAGTAGGCCATACCCCCCTGTTGTAGGCCACACCTCCGTGATAGGTCACACCCCCTATGGTAGGCCACGCCCCTGTCTTAGGCCACACCCTCTGTGGTGGTAGGCTGCATCCTCATCAATAGGGCACGCCCCCTTCCTCTCGCCCCCGCCTCCCTTCCCTTTCAGGCTCCCCTATAGTGGCCTGGGAACGTTGCTTTATCTGAACTCCCTGACCCTGTGCCTCTCACCTTCTCCACCTCCTCGCTAGAAGGTTCCAGCACCTCGTAGGGCCCGATGCGTAGGGCGGCCGCTGCCAAGCTCTCCTGCTCTTCGCCCTGGCGGATCTGCTGGTTGATGTGGTGCAGGAAGGACTCCACAGATGAGATCTGGAGGGGGAACCCAGGACAGAGCGGTCAGCTCCCTCCCGGGACCTCCTTCCGGCCCCTTCCCACGCACAGCAGGACAGGGCCCTCAAGAGTCCTCTCCTCTCCTCCCCTCCCCTCCCCTCCCCTCCCCTATAGGCAACCTACCATGGTGGTCAGGGTCTCGCGGGTGTGGGGGTCAGGGGTCTTCTTGAGCACCGCCTGGAGCAGCAGAGGGTACTTGGTGATGCGTTGGTGGGGCTTGATGAGGAGATCGCCCAGCATCTGCCTCCCTGACAGCTTGTGCTTCTCACACCACTGTGGGCAAAAGTGGGCATGGGCTCAGGTGCCTGCCGGCTCTCTCCTGCCCCCGGTGCAGGCACGAACCAGCCTGGGGAGGACCCACCTCGCGCGCCCCTTCCCCAGGCGGCCCTCCCACCTGCACGAAGGTATGGAAGCACGGGTTGCTGTCTTGCTGCTCCCGGGCGTAAGCCATGGTCTGCTTCACTTGCAGGCAGTAAAGCACGTAGGGTTGAAAGCGCTCGCTGAACTGGAGTGGGGGGTGGGGGGGAGGGGAGAAGGTCAGGAGATCATCGGGGTCTGGCTGCAGAAGACGGGGGAGGGGGAGAGCCCCTCCATGGATTCTCAGGCCAGCTCCCGCCAAGACCATCTCCCCTGGGGCTGTCAGGCTCCCCTCCCCCGTGCTGGCAACCCTCCCCCCCGCCCCCAGCCCCCTCTCTGGATCCCAAGGGGAAGAAGGACGAGAGCCTCTTCCGTCTGACTCCCTAACTCATGCGGTACCCCACGCCTAGCCTAGCCTGGAGACTCTCCCACCATGAATAATGCAATCGGAACGTTTTTCAGGACACCAGGGATCCCGTTTCACTCTACCGGGTGGCGGGGACCCCACCCTGGCCCCGAAGCCTTGCTCCCAAGGAAGGGAGCCATCTAAGGTTCCAGGAGACAGTCTCAGTTCGCTACAAAATTCTTTCACTCATCATTCCTCTTCACCCCTTACACCCCCCTCCCCCCAGCCCCCTAGGGGGCCACTTTGCTTAGGTGCTCCTAGCTCTTTGTCGGGATAACACAGCGGGTAGGGTGTTTGCCTTGCACACGGCCCCACACGGCCCCACCCGGGTTCAATTCCTCCATCCTTCTTGGAGAGCCTGGCAAGCTATCAAGAGTACCCTGCCCACACGGCAGAGCCTGGCAAGCTCCCTGTGGCATATTCAATATGCCAAACACAGGGGCTGGAGCAATAGCACAGCGGGTAGGGCGTTTGCCTTGCACGTAGCCAACCCGGGTTCTATTCCTAGCATCCCATATGGTCCCCTGAGCACCGCCACGGGTAATTCCTGAGCGCAGAGCCAGGAGGAACCCCTGTGCATTGCCGGGTGTGACCCAAAAAGCAAAAAACAAAAACAAAAACAAAAAATCAATATGCCAAACACAGTAACAACAAGCCTCACAATGGAGACGCTACTGGTGCCCGCTCGAGCAAATCGATGAACAACGGGAGGACAGGGCTACAGTGCTACAGCTCTTTGTCAGTGGATTGCTGTCCAAGAACTGTTTGTTGGGGGGGCCACCCCCAGTAGTGCTGGGCGACCATGTGGTGGCAGGGATTGAACCCTGTGTTCAGCAAACATTCTAGTTCAAGGAGTAAGCTCTCTTGCTCAAGAGATATTTGGGGTTGGGGGTGTTTGGGCCCACACTGGGTGGGTGCTCGGGCTTACTCCTCGTTCAGTGCTCAGGGGTCACTGTTCTTGGTGTCCTGCAGGGACCATGTGGGGTGTTGGTGATTGAGCTGAGGTTGGCCATATACAAAGCAAGCACTTTACCCGCTGTATTTTCCTCTCTGGTCCAAAAATTGATTGTTTTTTCCTTTTTTGGGTCACACCCGGCGATGCACATGGGTTCCTCCTGGCTCATGCACTCAAGAATTACTCCTGGCGGTGCTTGGGGAACCATAGGGGATGCTGGGAATCGAACCCATGTCGGCCGCGTGCAAGACAAATGCCCTACCTGCTGTGCTCTCACTCCAGCCCCTAAAATTGAAATGGTTTTTATCATTGATCAGGGGCTGGGGCTGGAGCAATAGCACAGCGGGTAGGGCGTTTGCCTTGCACACAACCAACGTGGTCGACCCGAGTTCAATTCCTCCGCCCCTCTCGGAGAGCCCGGCAAGCTACTGAGAGTATCCTGCCTGCACGGCAAGGCTTGGCAAGCTCCCCGTGACGTATTCGATATGCCAAACACAGTTACAACAAGTCTCACGATGGAGATGTTATTGGGCCCGCTCGAGCAAATCGATGAATAACGGGAGGTCTGTGACCGTGATCAGGAGCTACCTGTGGGCTTTCTCTGAGAGAACTGCCTTTTCATGTCCCAACTGTGCCCAGAGAGTGGACCAATGAGCCTGTGGGCCAGAGCTCCTAGTTCTGGAATGAACCTGGTAAGGGAAGGGCTATCCTGAAGTTGCTATCCGAGGATATTCCCAGGATATTCTGAGGCTTATGCTCTCAAGCCCCTCCTGCCCTGTAAGTCACGAGAGGATTTGAGCCTCCTGGGCTTCAGACAGCTCCCACCCCTTCCACACGTAGCCCCTCACCCCGCCTCACCGTCAGGAACCCATCCTGCAGGCGCATGGGGTCTAGGGGCCGGCCCAAGGCTCGAGTCTCCTCAAGCATGGGACCCAGCACTTCATCCCAGAAGCTCCGATGGGCTCGAATCAACCTGGGGACGATTCCGAAAAGGGTCTCAGCTGACACCTAGAGGAGGAAGCAGCAGGGAGTGACAAATCTTGGCAGGTGGCCATCAGGGGCAAGGAATTGGAGGGTGGGGGTGGGGCGGTAATAGACCCTAGGCTGGGGGGAGGGGGAGTCCAGCTATGTCCTCCCCCCTGCCTGGGTGGTTGTGTGACCCCCCCCCAACCCCTCCTTCAGGGCTGGGTATAGCACAGGAGCCTGATGTGGGGGCCTGTGGTCCTCCCCTGAGCACTCACGTCTGTCAGCACGCCCACTCGCTGGAGATTCAGCAGACCGTTGACTAGGAGCTAGACCCAGGGAGAGAAGAGGGGCTCAGTGCCTGAACCCCCAACTCTTCTCAGGAGCCCCACCCAGTGCTTCATTGCAGTTCCCACCCAGCATTGCCCCAGAGGTGCCCTGCCGGCGTTCTAAGCTGGAGGGGGGGTGCTCTTGATCCCTCCCCCTGCGCCCCCCCACCCCCCAACCGTGCATCTTCCGGCCACTGCAGACAGCCCAGGCCTGGGGCGGAAGGAGAATCTCACATCGGTTATGATCTTGAGCTTCCGCACATAGATGAGCTCGGTGGTCAGCAGCTCCCACAGGGCCTCCTGTTGGTGGCAAAGGTCCCGGCTCATGTCCTGGGGAGGGGCAGAGGGCGGGTTCAGTGGGGGAGCAGAGACGAGAAGAGCAGCTACCATGGACACAAGGCGAGGACCCCTGACCTCACCCCTGGAAGATCTCTCCGCCCCTGTTACCCTTTGTGAAATGCTATTGAGTCTACTTTTTTTTTTTTCAGCCACACCCAGCAGTGCTCAGGGTTTAATTCTGGTGCTGTGCCTCAGGGATCACTCCTGGCAGGCTCAAGGAATCACTAGAGGTGCTGGGGATTGAACCTGGGTCAGCTTACCTGCTGGTCTATTGCTCCGGTCCCTGAATCTATTTCTGAGACCCTCCAGTGAGGCAGGGTATCACCCCCAGTTAACTTGAATTTTCTTGTTTTAAATTTTTTTTTGGGGGGGGGCTGGAGAGATAGCACAGCAGGTAGGGCGTTTGCCTTGCATGCGGCCGACCCGGGTTCGATTCCCGGCATCCCATATGGTCCCCTGAGCACCGCCAGGAGTAATTCCTGAGTGCAGAGCCAGGAGTAACCCCTGTGCATCGCTGGATGTGACCCAAAAAGCAAAAAAAAAATTTTGGGGGGGGTCACACCTGACTATGCTCAAGGCTTACTCCTGATTCTGTGCTCAGGGATTACTCCTGGTGGGGCTCAGGGAGCACTGTGGATCCTGGCGATTGAACAAAGAGTGGCCATATGCAACATAAGAGCCTTACCCCTGTACTATCTCCCCAGCCTCTGAATTTTCTTCTTCTTCTTCTTCTCCTCATAGTTTTTTGGGCCACACACAATGATTCTCAGGGGATACTCCTGGCTCTTGCACTCAGGAACACTCCTAGCAGGCTTGGGGGGCCATATGGTATGCTGGGGATCGCACCTGGGTTGACCATGTGCAAGATAAATGCCCTCCCCACTATAACATAGCTCCAGCCCTCTTTTTATTTCCTGATGACGACCAGGGCCTCACAGGCAAGGCAAATACTTTATTGCTGAGCCACGTCTGTGGTGCAGAAGTTTTTCTTTTCTTTTTTGCTTTTTGGGTCACACCCTGGCGATGCACAGGGGTTACTCCTGGCTCTGCACTCAGGAATGACTCCTGGCGGTGCTCAGGGGCCCATATGGGATGCTGGGAATCGAACCCAGGTCGGCCGTGTGCAAGGCAAACGCCCTACTCGCTGTGCTATCACTCCAGCGCCAGGTTACTCCTGATTCTGCACTCAGCAATCACTTCTGGTGGGCTTGGGGGACCATATAAGATGCCGGGACACAAACCTAGATCAGCTGCATGCAAAGATAATGTCCTACCTGCTATATTATTGCTTCAGCCCCCAGAATCTTTTTTTGGGGCGGGGGGATGACGGTTTCTCAAGCAGTGCTTGGAGACTATTAGAATCACCTCAGGAACCATGAAATGCCAGGGATCAAACCCGGGGTCTCTGCATGCCAGGCGTGCATGCCAGATCTTTGAGTCATCTCCCCAGCCCTTCCCCCCATTTCTCCGGAGAAGCAGCTGAAGCAGGGAGCGTTGCCATCTTTTTGTTAGCCGGGGTGGGGAGGGAGGGCACTCATGGTGGTGCTGGGGCCTTCTCCCGGCCGGCTCTGTGCTCAGGAGACCATGTGGTGGTGGGACTTGAACCCAGGCCACCTACATGCAAAGCTCTAGCCAGGAACAATCTCTCTAGCCCCGACTTTGTCTGGACCAAAGTCTCAGCAGTAAGTTGCCACGCCAGAATTGAATCCTGGAGTAAGATGATTTCAGATGCCTCTGGTCCCTACCCCTCCACTCCCCACCCATCTCTGCCCCCCAGGAACAGAGTGAGACCCCGGGGAAGACACAGGTGTGCACGCACCTTGTGTTCCGGCACTATCTCCTTCCAGGACTTCTCGATGTTGAGGCCACTGTCGCCGCCCTCTCCGATCTCCCAGTGTCGCCGGTCCTCGGGGGGCAGGCGCGGCATCCCGAACATACTGAATGTGTGCAGTCGCCTCTCCAGGTTCTGCATCGTAGGTGCCTCCTGGCAGGTGGGGTACAGAGTGTGTGTGTGTGTGTGTGTGTGTGCGCGCGTGCGTGCACGCGTGTGTGTGTATGTGTGTGACAATGGGACACTGGGAAAGGGGAAGTCTGAGGCTGGGATGACAGAAGAACTGCATCGTTTTTTTTTTTTCTTTTTGGGTAACACCAGGCGATGCTCAGGGGTTAGTCCTGGCTCTGCACTCAGGAATTACTCCTGGTGGTGCTCAGGGGACCATATGGGATGCTGGGAATTGAACCCGGGTTGGCTGTGTGCAAGGCAAACGCCCTCCCCACTGTGCTATCTCTCCAGCCCAGAGAACTACATCTTGCTGGAACACGGAAAGGTTGGGAAGGAAGGACCCTGGACCACGGGGTTTAACCTGAGTGCCCTGACCAGAAGTTCTGGGGTGTCCCAGAGGGAGAACGCCCCCCTTCCCTTCAGGGGGCAATGGAACTTAGAGGCTCCGAGGGCCAGCAACATTTTGAATATGCTCCCATGAAATGGACATTTGATTTGACTTTGTTCTATTTTCTCTGGGAGAGAGGGGTATTTGGGCCACACCCAATAGTGCTCAGGGCTTACCCCTGGCTCTGTGCTCAGAGACCACTCCTGGAGGGGCTCAGGGCACCAGGGATTGAACTGGGGTCAGCTGCATGCAAGGCAAGCGCCATAACCTCGTACTATTATTCTGATCTTAGTACTTTTGTCTTATATTTATTATTATTCACATTGGGGCTGGGCTGGAGCGATAGCACAGTGGGTAGGGCGTTTGCCTTGCACGCAGCTGGCCGATATGGCCAACCCGAGTTCGATTCCTCCACCCCTCTCAGAGAGCCCGGCAAGCTACTGAGAGTATCTCGCCCTCACGGCAAAGCTTGGCAAGCTACCCATGACGTATTCGAATATGCCAAACACAGTAACAAGTCTCACAATGTTACTGGGCCCGCTTGAGCAAATCGATAAACAACGGGAGGACAGTGACAGTGACATGTTGGGGCCACACCTGGCAGTGCTCAGGGCTTACTCCTGGCTCTGTGCTCAGAGATCACTCCTAGTGGAGCTCAGAGGACCCCATGTACTCCTGGGCAGTGAACCAGGGTCAGCCACTTACAAGGCGAGTGCCTTACCTGCTGTACTATCTCTCCATTCCTGGTATTTTAATACTTTTCTTTTTTCCTTCTTTTTTTTTTTTTTTTTTTTTGCTTTTTTTGAGTCACACCCGGCCATGCACAGGGGTTACTCCTGGCTCTGCACTCAGGAATCACTCCTGGCGGTGCTCAGGGCATCCTATGGGATGCTGGGAATCGAACCCGGGTTGGCCGAGTGCAAGGCAAATGCCTTTTCTGCTGTGCTATTGCTCCAGTCCCTTTAAGGCTTTTCTTTTTCTTATTTTTAGGGGTGCCAGGGACGAAACCCTGGTTTCCTGTACGTAAGGCGTGCACTTTACCACTGAGCCTTATCCTTGACCCTAAGAGACATTTTTCTCAGGCATCCAGGCTCCGAGGCAGATGCCTGCGGGGTCTCTAACTGGAGCCAGCTGCTATTTCTTGGGGGCAAGGGCTGGTGGGGTTGGAGCACATTGTGCCAACCATGGAGAACTTCACAGGTCGGGTTGTGGCTGTGCGGGTGGGAGGAAGGGGGTCCCTTACCTTGAATATGGGGGAGCGAGGGGGCCCGTTGCCCAAATAGCCTCCATGCCTCTTTTCAGCGTCTGTGTCCCGCTTGGGTGGGAGGCCTCGGGTGAAGGGACCATGACGGCGGCGGCGGCTGGGATCCTGGGGGGGGGGGGGGGGGGTGGAAAGTGAGGGAATTGCGGGGGATAACTTCCTGCCCTGGCAGCCCCTGAGAGTTGGAGTGGGGGGTGCAGGCTCAGTTCCAGATAGCAACCTCTCCCCCCCGCCCCCCCAGAAACACAGGTTTGGCTCGTCTCTCCCCCAAAACCAGTTTGGCGTGAGCGGCTCCTGGCCTGAGTCACTCGTGCCTGCTGCCAGGAAGCCAGAGCGGGCTGGGCAGGGACATGCCCACCTGGATCCGCGAGTGGGCCCCGGCGGGCAGAAGCCTCCTTCAGAGCCAGGATGCTGGCACGGGCCACTGTGGGTATGCCCTGCTGGCCTCCCGCCCCCGCATGGCCAGCATGCACAAGCGGCCCAGGTGGGCCATCAGCCTGGCTGGCACACAGGGTTGGGGGCATTTAAGCGTGTGCCAGCGACATGCAGCCGGGTCCCACGCTCACAGTGAGGAGCTGCCCCCTGGTGCTCCCAGTTCTTCTTTTTCTTCTTCTTTTTTTTTTTTCTTGTGCGTCACATCCTGCCATGCACAGGGGTTCCTCCTAGCTCTGCACTCAGGAATTCCTCCTGGCAGTGCTCGGGGGACCCTATGGGATGCTGAGAATCGAACCTGGGTCGGCCACATGCAAGGCAAATGCCCTACCCGCTGTGCTATTGCTTCAGCCCCCTTTTTTCTTTTTTATTGATTTCTTTTTATTTATTTATTTATTTATTTTTGGCTTTTTGGGTCACACCTGGTGATGTTCAGTGGTTCCTCCTGGCTCTGCACTCAGGAATTACTCCTGGCAGTGCTCAGGGGACCCTATGGGATGCTGGGAATCGAACCCGGGTCGGCCGTGCTGCCAGGCAAACACCCTCGCGCTGTGCTACCGCTCCAGCCCCTGCTTCCAGTTCTGTTCCTGGTGAGTTAGAGGCTGGGATCCCAGCAGGCCCGGCTGCATTCCTTCGCTGGCCTCTGGCTTGACCCCCCACACACTGTCTTCCTCACTTCCCGCGCGCCTTGGGCCGGGGATGGGCCTGGCCATCCTCGCAGCCTCCTCCACGGGGCTGGGGATCCCCGCGGCTGGAAGCCGGGATCTTCTGCAGGGTGCGGTGCCCTGCAGGCCGCAGGAGGCACAGCTCTGTGGGTGCACCGGGGGGTGGAGCCGGGCGGGGGCACCCTGAACCTTGGCAGCCCACAGGCTCCTCCCAAGTGAAGGCGGGTGTCCCGGCTGCGGGGTGACCTTCTCCCCAGCGCTGGGCCTCAGTCAGACCCGTCCGACTACCCCTCCCCGAAGGCGTGGCTCCTCCGGGCTCCCGAGCCCCGCCTGGCCCCGTGCGACAGCCCGCGCGCCCTCCTGTCCCTTGCAGTCCCCGGGAAGAGGGCAGGGGCGGGGGACGGAGATAGAGCGGCCCACAGCACGCGGGCTGAGACTTCAAAGCCGGGAATGCGCCCTCCCTGGGCCCCGCCCGGGTCGTCTCGGGGCCACAGGGCTGGACTCACCGGTGTGGGGCTCCCTCTGCGGGGAGAGAGGTTGCGTGGGGGACTCGGGGCGCCGCGCCGGCCCCCGTAGGCCTCGATGAGGGAGGCCACGGTTCCTTGATGGTGCCGCTCATTAGGGTCAAAGGCCCGCATCCCTTCCCTGCTGGGTCACCTGGCGAAGGTCATGGTGCCAATGTCCAGCGAGGAACAGCCTCGAGACAGCCCGGAGAACCTACAAGAAAGGAAGAGCCGGCACAGATCACGGGATGCCCACGGGGGTCACCAGCGCCAGGAGTGGGAAGGGAAATGATCCGGAGAGTGGAGAGGGGAGAACCTGGTGTTTAGGGGGAGCAGAGCTGCCTTATCTAGTACCTGGCAGGATGGGGTACAACGCACCCCGTGTTCTGGGTTCTTTGGGAATACACCTCGTCCTTCACATCTGGGCATATTTGGGGTGCAAGTTCCCATGGTGGTCTTAAAGGATGCTCCTGTTCCTCAGAGCACTGAGGGGGTCAGAGTCACAGTTAGGTCCTGGCTTCTGGGGTGTCTCAGGTGGAGGGGGTCCCCTTGGGTCCCAAGGCACTGTCCACTGGCCAGCGCAGAGACTGTAGAAAGCTGCAGGGTGTGTATGTGTGTGTGTGTGTGTGTGTGTATGTGTGTGTGTGTGTGTGGCGGGGAGGGACAGAAATCTGGGACTAGAACCCCCCTCCCCCCACCTACCACCTATGCTGGAAGAGCCCGAAAGTTAAAAATGCATTTTTCCGGGGCTGGAGAGTGGGTAGGGTGCTGGTCTTGGCCGCTGCCAACCCAGGTTTGATCCCTGACATCCTATATGACCCCCCCACCCTGAACACCATCAGGAGTGATTCCCGAGTGCAGACCAGAAGGAAGCCCTGAGCATTGCTGGATGTGGCCCCAAAGCCCCAAAACAAAACAAAAACAAAAACAAACAAAATGCATTTTGCATGTTTAAGCAGTCAGTGATTTAACACGCAACAACAAGAAGTAAGAATAAGGTTTCTTAGACCTGGACCAGAGACAGAAGTCTCTGGGCTGAGGACTGGGTCTGCGAATAGTAGAAAGCCCCACTCCAGTGCTCCCTGGTGTAGCCCAATCCCCTGAGCATTGGGGGAGTGATTCCTGAGCACAGAGCCCGGAGTCCTCCTGAAGCACCCGGGGTGTGCCACCCCGCCTCACCCACCTGTGTGCCACCCGTCCCCGCCCACCTGTGTCCCCCACACACAAATATCTCATAAACATAAAAATATGTGACATTCCGGTTTCAGGGTCCATTAGGTTTTCCTGACCACATCTATTCTCCTTAGTCATTTGCGGTAACTGCTTTGCTGGAGGAGTACGTTGGCACTATATTGGCTTCAAAGTCTAACATCTGCCTTACTTGCCGGCAGGGAAAAGTGCCCCACCTGTCAATAGGCAAGGAGCCAGGTGGGGGAAAGACAGGGTTTTAGCCCAGAGGGGAACACGGGGATTGATCTTGGACTTCCCCTGTCTGTGGGTGCCCCCAGCTCCGGGTACTGGCCACCAGGATATGGGGCTTCCTTCTCCCTAACCTCGGCAAGAGGACTCATTTCTGGGATAAATCCTGAAGAGGGGACTCCGCAAGAGGCGTGGGTACCCCTCCAGGTGAGTCTGAGGTGCTGTTCGACCCCCCGAAACTTTCCCCCCTTGATTTATGGGCAGCGGAGGAAAAGATTCCTCATCCCCCCACCCCGTTCCGCTCAGGGGCGCTCTCCCCCTCTTCCATCCGACCCAGAGTCCTTTCTGAGCATGGACCCAGCCTCGGGCAGCCCTGGGCACCCCTGTCCGCTCCAGCTCCCCGCCGCCCTCCCGGCGCCCGTCCGCCCAGCCTTCCGGCCGCTCACCTGTGCGGGCAGGTACGCGGGTCCCCGCGCCCCGCGCTGCCGGTTCCCGGCCCGCGGGGCTCCGGATCGCCGACGGGTCCCCCCTTCCAGCGATGCCAGCCCCGCTGCCCGGCCTGGGTCTGGGACCGAGCGGCCCGGGAGAGCCGGGGCTGCGCAGGGCCGGGCCGGGAGGGAGGGCCGGGAGGGGGCGTGGCCGGCGGCAAGCCCCGCCCCTCCGCCTCCCGGGGGGGCCCCCGCAGCGCCCTGGGGTGCGGGAGCCGCGCGGCAGACGCGGGCTCGGGGCTCGGCGCGCACCTCCTCTTTGCACCCTCTCCACCCCGCGATCGCAGGGCTGGACCGCGCGGCCCCCGCGCTCGGGGGGTCAGACCCCCGCGAGGCGCCAGCGTAATGAGGCATAAATGAGCAGCGGGCGCCGCAGGAGGAGGAGCGGCGGCGGGGAATGACCCGGGGAGCCGGGACGGGCGCCCGGGTCGGTCGCCGGCTGGTGCAGCCAGCCTCCTCCCGGGGGCCCTCGTCGGCCTCTTGCAACCAAAGGAGAACATTGGGGGCCCCGGGGCCTCAGCACCCCCGGGCGCTCGCGCGTCCCGCTGTCCCCCGGGTCCAAAGTGTGAGTCTTATCTCTCGGTGGCTCGCGCTGGCCATCAGGTGGCGGCTACCTCTGGACTTTGCCTGGGCTCCCGAGGAGCACCTGAGCAATGCACCTGACGCTCGTCCCGGCTCCGGACCCTGGGGGACAGGGCGAGCTGAAGGGGACGCGTACTTCCCTGGCAAACGGACGCGGGCCCAGGCTGGCCGCTTCCCAGTCGCGGTGCAGGCTCCGCCAGGAAACGGTTTTTTATAATTTTTTTCAACGCCCCCAAGTTTGCAAGGCGTCTGATGGACACGTTAGGACTGAACACGGATATGCGGTCATTATCATCTTTAGCAGCTATTTCATTTGAATTTTTTGGGGGTGGTGGTAAACAGGGCAATTAGTCTCTGTTTAAAACAGAGAGGAATGTGGGGGTGGGGGGGGGAGTACAGGGTTAAGGCTTGTCCTGAAGGTGGTTGATTGATCTCCTGCCCCAGGTCCTCGGAGCACTTGTCAGGAGTGATCCCTGCGCACAGAGCAAGGAATAAGTCCTGAGCACCACTAGGCGGAGTATGGCCCAAAGCTTGCCCCCCTCCCCCCCAAAACAAGCAAATGGAACAAGGTGACTTTGTGTGTGTGTGTGTGTGTGTGTGTGTGTGTGTGTGTGGTGTTTTCCCTGGTGCTAGGAATTGAATTGAGGGCCTCAAGCAAGGCCCTCAGACTACCCCCAGCCCTGTCATTAGAATCTTAGAAGCATGAGACTGTCTAGAGGCTGGTTGGGGGCAGGTGTGAACCCTCATCTTCCGCCTGCAGATTGGCTGAGCTGGGAGGGTACTTGTTCAGAGCTCTCTGGAGTTCGTGAAATTCTTCTCAAAGCATAATCCCTCAGCGTTCCAAGACCTTAGGGAAAGGCACTCCATTTCCCCCTCCTGTCTGATGTACTCCTTACCTCAAAGATCCATCACTGTCACTTGGATTCAAGAGTCTCTATTTTGGG